GCTGTGGGCCGATGATTGGTGTGAGAATATAAAAGTCCAGCTCTTTTACTTCTATAATCACAATCTTTGAGGTTTAATTTGCACTCCAGAGTGCCTGACCTAATTAGACTGAGTCTACAACTTCGTTTTTTTTCTGTGCAGAAAAGAGTCAACATAGCAGGTCTGAGACTGTCATCCTTAAATAGTCTTACACAAGGGTGGCCCTTGGCTTGCATCTGGGTACTTGAATTTTTGGAGGGCTCCACCATTCTCTAAATAAAAACAATGGCTCGCTGGGCTTAAAGTGTTTGTATTAATAATATACTTTAGGCTGAACATCTGCTTTTCCTCTGGGAGTCTGGAATTTTCCTATGTGCTAGGAAGAGGGTGACTACATGGCTGACTGCCGATATAAGCCCTGAACGCCTAGCTCAGTAGGCTTCCCTGGTAGACAGCACTGTACTTGTGTTGTCACAATTCATTGGTGGAGAAATTAAGCACGTCCAGTGCGACTCCACTGAGGGAAGGCTCTTGGAAGCTTGTGCATGGTTTCCTCTGGACTTTGCCCCACGTGCATTTTCCTTTTGCCGATTTCATTTTGTAACCTTTCGTTGTAATAAATCATAGCTATAGGTTCAACTGTATACTGAATCCTGCAAATCTTCCTAGTGAACCTCTGAACCTGGAGGTAGTTTTAGGATTCCAAGACACATTCTCCCTTCTCTGTTTTACTTCTTTATTCTCCCTTCTCTTACTGGTTTCTTCTGGGAGCACATGCTCAAAGAACTGTGTGTATCCTAATCCTTGACCTGGCCTATGCTTCTGGGGGACTCTACAAATATTCTGAATCAGTCAAAATATTAGTCTCAACTACAAGTTCTATAATTTCTTTCTATTCCAGGCACAGTTTGCTCCCCATCCTCTACTGTCTGTCTCTCCTCCCTCTGAACCCCTCCAAACACAGTTTATAAATTGCATACAAATTGTACTACAAGGCTTAAAACAGAGACTATCTTGTCCCATCTCTCTCCACACTGAGTCTTGTTCTCCAGTGGTAAAAACTTGCAATATTTTTTAGGTGTTTATTCCTGTATTTACCTCAAGATATTGAAATGATATACCTTATATTCCTCTTAATACTTACAACATGGGAACAAAAAGTATGACATAAACTACTTAGGAAAGAAATACTCAAATCTTTTCTTCCCTCTACTCACATGTGGAAATATATCCATTCCTATCCATTCCTATCCATTCCATCCATTCCAGAAGAAAGAAATCAGTGATAAAAATTTCAGAAAGGTTAAGCAATTCTATGACAAGCCAGTGGGCTGGATATTAAAGTCATCTTCCCCCAAGCATTTTCACAGTCAGTTCTCTTGGTAATAGTTCTCAAAAGAAGCAGAAAAACTAAAGGCTTGCTCCAATCCTCATCTCAATAAGTTCTTAATCCCAGATCTTCTTCAGTGCCAATAGAATCCAGCCATTTTGCTGTGGTGCTGAGAGTCTTTGGAAAACAAAGTTACTCCCATTCAAGAATGGCACAATACACACTGATGGCCCCAGCCATTGACCTTCATTACTCTCCCTACTGTACCATTAATAACTGTGTAATGATGAATTGTCATAGTGACTTACTTTCACAGAAATATTTTTTGGTTTTATAAAAATCTAGGTCAAGTAGAAAGTGAGCTGTGCATGTTAATGTCATCAGTTATAGATTAACTTTTGCAGCTCAGAAGTGCAGGCATTTGAATCTACTGAGGTCTGCTGCTTTACAAAATAACACAGAAAACGAAGTAACAAAACTGAGTTTTTGAAATTCACGTGGAAAAGTGTCAATACTCTGGTATCTGAAATACAGCACGTGATAAGGAAATAAGGATGGTATCATTTGTTTATTTTTGTTGACCTATATTTGGTTTACGGTCTCAAGTAATAAATAAGACAATACATTTTCTTTTCCCCATCTCCAGCCTAAAGCCTTGCTTCATTCAGCCTCTAACCAATCAATTTAGGAAAACAAAATACTCTTGCCGCTCCAAATTTACACCTTTAAATAAAACATCCAAATATCACAAAAAAAATTAAATAGAGCAGCTTTGAGATGTTCTCATAGGTATAAAATCCTCTAGGATTCCCCCAGGCCCCAGACCTCTGCATCTGTGCTCAGAGATCTGAAAGTGCTTTTCTGATGAGCTTTAAATTTTATGCAATATTTTCTCTATTACACATAAAATGTTTATCTCTTTTTGGAGAGTCTAATTGTCTTTTGAGCTCTCTTTTGTCTTGCAATTCTGTTCCACTCCCCTGTCTGTCAGAGAATCTACATAAAACTCCTCCTGAGGGCTCTTACAACCTTTCCCAACCCTGCTCCTTATAAGGCACCTGCAAAGGTGAATGGCAGCAGGAAATCCTAATGATCTCTGGAAGCCTGGACAAAGACTATTTCAGGAAAAAAAAAAAAAAATAGAAATTTTAAATGCTTTGAGGCCATTAACAAAGTTGTGAAATTTGTGAGAAACGTGGGAGAAGAAAATGTCTTTTTACTATTTGCGAGGTTCACAGGCTCTAATTCTTCATGTCCCTAGTCGAGCTTTAACTTAATTATAAAACAAAATCTATAGCCACGGCCCAGACCTAGAGGTAGAGTCTGTACAACTAATCAACTTTAATTCCCTAGGCCCACTTTAATTACAAAACAACATTTGGTGCAGCTGCTAAACACTTACCAGGTGACCACAGGATAATACTGGAGTAGTATTTATAAGTCTCCAGCTTTTGCTCTTATTCTATCAGCATAATTATGTCTCAGTTATATACAAATTTGAGCAGGCTCTAGGATTTATCAGAAAAAATAATTTTCTTGATTTTTATAGATCCCTGTAGTTGAGCCAGTTAAGGTATTAAATTGCACTACAACTAATTAATGTCAGGAGATCAAAATTTAATGGAGGAAGAGATGTACCAGTAAAGGACAATAACAACAAATTGAATATCAGTTTTGCACACTTACCTGCTTTTAATTCATTCTGTTTGTGAGGCAAAGAGAAACCAGCTTATGTGTATTATGAATTATCACTTTGCTTTTTAGGTTTTAACATACATTACTTTCCAAGACAACTAGATATATCTAACTCATACCTCTGCTTGTATTTTAGTGTTTCCTAAGACAAGTTAGGATGCCATTATTTGTGTTACAAAATAATTTTTACTTGACAAAATTATAATAAACCACGATTTTTTAAAAAGCTACATAAAATATACTCAATTTGCACAAATATCCAGGAAGATCAGTGTACTGAATGAACTAGATGTGATTTTTCATTGGACAACACTGAAGCAGAGGTTCCATGAACAATGAACTTTTCACTTCAGCTTTTTGCTTCATTCAAATATACTTTTATAATACCTCGGGCCCTAATCCTCTGTAGGTCTATATAAGGACAAAAAAATTATTTGAATTGAGGAAAAAAAATCAAGAAGTGCTATCACTAAGGGAATTTAATATGACTCTTACTGTTGTTTTTTTTTTACAGTAATTCAGAAGATTAAAATGTAGAGTACTGTCTAATCCAAATAAGGATTTGAAGCATGAATAAAAGAGAAAAAGAATGTGCTTCTTTTGCTTCATTTTCTTTGATACCAGTCTCTGAGTGTTACTTTCCACTTCTTTTCTTTCCCTTTAGTGTAGAACAGGGAAAAGCTAAAGAGAGGATATATCATAGCTGATTATACCACCATAGAAAAAACCAGAATATATAAAAGTCATCATAAACGATCGGGAGCAATAATCTCCTTCTTCACAGTTCAACCTCAAATGCCAGTTCAGATTTCACCTACTACTGTCCTGCATGGCTTTCTTGGACCCTGGACAAAGACAAAAGCTAATTTCTCAGTAATAGCAATGTCTGTCAGTCTTCCACCCCAGAGAGTATCTTTCTTTACGACTAAACAGTGACTGAGTCACAGGAGGAAACAATTCTGCTTGCTGGAAGAAAATAGAATGGAAGGAATTATGACGGTTACCAGATGTTGTAGTACCCCTGAGGGGGCACCAGAATGTTTCTGCATATGCCGTAAACAGCACAAACTGTCAAACCATGGGACCCTGGGGTTTAGTGCTCATGCTTCTCTGAAGTGCAGAGTCATAGGATTTGGGAGTTAGAAGCAACCTTAGAGATGATCTTGTCCAGAGGCTTTAAACTGTGTCTGGGGGAGTCCTGTGGTTCCTAAGTATGTCTCAGGGATTGCTGAGGGGTACAGGGTTCTCCCCCAAACAATAGCAGCACTCTTAGGAAGAATGTAAATATCTTATAACAGAGCTTACATCAAGATAGTGTATTTTTTTTTTTCAAACAAAAATTAGTTGTTAAAAGTCTTAGGTAATTCCTGTGGTTGGGGAAAAGAAACTCGTGGAAAACCATCATCCAACGCCTCCATGCCATTCCTAGAGAGGAAGCCCCTAGAGAGCAGAAGGTTGATTCAGGAACTCAAGGCTGTGATAAAGCTCATGGCTTGTGAGCCTGAAAATTAAATAATATCACTAAGACACAGTTATCAGGGAGTAAAAAAAAAAAGGGCTTCTAGAGTCAAGTAGTCAAGTCAACCAACGCTTACCACCCTTCTTTATTTACATTTTATTTTCTATGACAAATTGAAAAGAATATATATCTCTTAGAAAAATGTTACCTTTTCTTGTTATTTTTAAATTTGGCAATTTAATACATTCTTTCCCTTATGATTATTTAATTCTTATTCTACATTACCTGTTCTGTTTTCAAATTAAAATATATCCTATGACTGACTGTTCCTGGAACCTCTCCAGCACCACCATTAGAATGAGAGAGAGAGAGAGAGAGAGAGAGAGAGAGAGAGAGAGAGAGAGAGAAGTAGCAATTTCTGTTTGTAAATGGAACCAGTTATGATGAGAGAAGACACAAGATTTTAACATAAGGTCAAAGCATATCTCCAGGATTAAACAGACATTCATAAAAATGCAATAGATACATCTGTCTCACCATCACTGTTGATGCACACAACCTCTTGAACTTGTGTGCCTGGACCACACTCCTTTCCATTATCTGGTTCACAGTCTCCGAGCCTCACTGCTTTCCAGTCATAGCAGGACGGCTCTTCACAGGGAATGGCTTCCAGTAAGTGAGGGCAGTTTCCAGTCCCCCCAGAGCCTCCAGTGGGCTCATTGGTAATACGCCGCTTCCTCAGTTTGAAGCCTGAATTATTGGGGAAAGAAAACATTTATTTTACCGTCAGGGCTTGAGTATTTTAGAAAGCTGAATAAAACTCCAGAGTGAAAGTTGGAAAGAGTAGAGGTAGAAGTTATGTCTGTTGTGAATCACTGGTGAACTCCCAAACTCTAGCTAAATGTGAGGTCCTAAACCATTTATTAAATGAATAAATGAATGGATGAATGAACAGAATACAGAAAGTGGGACTTTGGTTTTAGCTTATTACAGTAAAGATAAGGCAAGAAATGCCATGTAACTCCTATTTCCTTTGTAGGGCTGAGGGATAGGGGGAGACAGAAATAGAGATAGAGATAGATTTGGTCCATTTGGCAAGTCTAAAGTTATAGAATATTCAAAGAAACAATGAAATCTCAAACTATTCAGAAATATTCATGGCCAGATGAAAGTGCTATTATTTTTAATTCTTCAGCACAATCACATGATTGAATTTGGAAAAGGAAACTCTGAGAAGTTGGATGGTTCCAGAGAAACTGTCTCTTTGAGCCTCAGTTGATTTTAGACTCTCTGGAAATTTGAATTAGGAACATAAACCATCTGGGCTCCAATATGGAGTATTCGAAGTTCTGCTCTGTGCTTTAATGGCACCTAAGTGTTGCCCTTCCTGGCAATGTGTAACAAAATTAATAAGTCTGTTTATTGCTATGTGAACACACAGAATCACTAGAAGACTGCCCTTTAAAATAAAATAGAAAACATTTCAATTGCATGAAAGATCATGTGCAAATTAGCCCATCATGCCCACCATGAAGTCAACCACTGCATTTTTCCACTCCTCTTAGATATATCATTTGCATCATAAAAGTAAGCAAGTTTTTAAAATTTTGCCTTCGAAGTAATAAGGAGCTCTATTTATTGGGCACTAGCTATGGGATAGGCACTGAATTTCATGCTTTATGTTTACTATCTCACTAATACTTTAGAGACAATCTGGGTGGCAGATATTGTTACACCATTTTTACATATAAAAGGACAAAGATTTAGACACGCTATTAATAATTACCTTATCTAAACAAGCTAAGGAGAGAGTAGGTTTTCCAATCCAGACCAGTCTTATACCACAGCTCATCTTAACCACTGCACTAAACTGCCTCAGATGTTCTCCATCATGTTGTCTAAATTAACAAATATTTTGTCTATGTTTTTCCATTTAATTTTTTTATTTATATAAATTTAAGGGGTAACGTGCAATTTTGTTACATGCTTAGGTTGCATAGCGGTCAAGTTAGGGTTTGGGGGGTATCCATCACCCTAATAATATACATTGTACCCATTAAGTAATTATTCATCCTTGAAATCAATACTCCTTAGCCATTCTGGAAAACATCACAAATGAATAATCACAAGGAACACAGAACAGCATTTTTAAAATAATTCACAGTTTGACTCAATTGATAGAAATTCCAAGCACATCATATTAATATTACATACCTTTTTTGCCTTGCTGGTCATTACAGTTTTCATAAGTACAAGGTCCCCAAGCTGACCAAGGTGAAACTTCACATTCAATTGGACAAGGAATGTGGCACAGCTGTGTAGTATTAGGGAGAGGGCCAGTGCATAATTTCAAGTCCACTGGTTTTGAGGCTGTTTGGAGAAAAAGACAAACATCTTTAAGAATGAAACAAAAAGAAAATGTTATGGTCAACAATATGATTTTTCTGTATGGAGAAAGAAAATGCTTAAAGAAGTGGACGTGCCACCAAGACAGCATTCCAATGCTTCTCAGCCACATCCTGAGAATAAAAACAGAAGGGGTTGGAAAAAAAGAAGCAGCAGTATAGTATAGTCAAAGGAAACTGGAGAAGTCTTACAAATTGTTTGACTGCCAGTTTTACCACTAATCAAGCCATGCAATTAATAATGCTGAATGTAACTTTTCTAGTCAGTAAAATAATCCTTAAGTTTATCTCTAAAATGCTACAGCTAGATTCCAAGAAATTCAAATCTGCTTTAGAAGACTGAAGATAATAGGAGGGGGACTATAGCTTTAATATGCATGGAAAAAATGTCCACCAAGTGGCTTCCGGTGGAGCACTCTCCTGTCCCTCTGGTCCATAGGTGTCGAGAGGTACCAAGTGCACATGACGAAGGAAGAGCTCAAGTGGGCGCTATGCTCTCTACCTCCAGCTGTGTGACTCACCCAACGCTTTCTAGAACTTTTAAAGAATACATTATCTGCATATGTGGCCCCAAACTAAGAACTACTAAAGAGACTAATTTATATGTTTGTTCATAAATTGACCAATGAACTATGAAGAATGTTGTTTGTTCTTGCTTCTCCTCTTTTCTAATTTTTATGCCCACAGTTTGGCTCACAGATATTTGACAGTTAATATCAAGGTATAGTCATAGTTCTGGACACAGAACTGGTTAAAAATGACTAGGTGAGGGAAATATTTAAAACTATGTGGACAGTATAAGACAACCAAGTTTAGTTGTATATCATCTATCTATCTGTATCCTAATAGCTATAGTTACTTTTGTTGTAAAAAAATTTAACAAGTTAATTGTCTTGGTCACACATTTCCTTCAGTAAAAACTAGTTCCTGTTTCACTCTGGTAATTTGGAGAGCTCATGCTTATAGAATAAAGAACTTAAATAATGGAGGTTTAGATATTTCTTATTCTCCTACAAGAAAAGACTTTCAAATTCCAATTGCACAGGATTGTTTATAGAGAAATTAAAATATTTTAAACTATGTCATCCTAACTTTTAAATAAAAGTACTGAATATGTCTGCTTGTAGTTTAAACTCTAACACAAATTATAAGCACTTGGATATCCCCTAAGTTTCTGTGCACACAATCCTAAATGCTATCTAAAGTCTATGACATTGATTTCTCTTACTGCTACAGTTTTCATTCTGAAAGAATTCTGCAGATTTTATTTCTCCTTTTTCCTACTGTTGGTGCTTATCACCTCATCCCCCACCCCCGACACACACTGCGGTGAAAATGAATGACTGGGCACCTCTAATTTGCTTAGTATGAGCACAGCGAGCATTCTCACTCAAGTTCATCAGGATTGCTGCCAATGTGCATCATAACATCAGCCGAAGCCAAAAATGGTTAATTTTACTGCTTTTCAGTAGTGAAAGTACTTCACACACGAATGCCAGAAAACACAGAAATAAATGCTTCACTCTCTCTGAATATAAAAAATAACTTGACATCAACACTACATATTTCACATAAAACGAACTCTTTTTAGGACTCTTCTGAGTAGAAGAGTCTAAAGTATGTAGCAAAACTAACTGAAATTAATGTAAGTAATTACTTTCGCTTGTGGAATCTTTTACACTGTCATTTAAATTAGAGGTTTTGTGAAAGGAAGACCTTAAAAGTCTCCATTTTTTTCTTTCAATTGGCAAAAAGTCACTTTAAACCTTGATGTTATTATATTATTTTGGAAATAATAGTTGCTATAGAGTGACGTTTACTGGACATGCAATTCTGAGGATATTAGAGTCTGAAGAAATTTATTTCATCTAAGAGGGAAACATGACTTTATCAAGGAAACAAAACATTGTGCGTCTACATCTTGGTCATTTTCTTTGTAAGTTTAATTTTAGCTTTTGGAGTATTTTGAAGGAATCAAATAGAATAATCAGTCATGAAATCTTGAGCTACTGAAAGAGAAACTGATGAATAAAGGCTGAAGGAAGAATTGCTGAAGGAAAATACTCTCGAGGGATGCTCAGCTGCTAAGCCCACTAAGTCAACATTGAGACAATATAATCCTTGAAAAATGAAATATAGTTGTATATGTATATAATGTATATACACACATATGTAAGCTTTTTTTCATTAACCAAAGAAACACAGGAAGACAGTATGTGTGTATAATTCTATTCCTTTGGTGATTATCGCTACAGATTTTCTTGTAAATAGAGTATATATTGATTAATGTAAATCACAAATACTAGCTGAGCTCCTCAAAAGCTATAAGTCAATTACATCTTTGCAACTGACTAAGGGTTATTTGGAATCAACGTGATTCAATGAATGAAGTAAAGGACAGCCTCCGGAGAACTACTGGTTTTTAGTTTACATTTGTGGCATATAATTCCTATAGTGTTTTATTATATAATATAGTGCTTACTATTCATATAATATTCTCAAATACTGAAATTTGAATTTTCTGGAATGTCTCAGTCCTTACTTTTGTGTAATTTAAAACTTAAGAAATGGTTTATCCAGTACAACCTCCAAAGAAATATATATTAGGTTTTTTTAAAAAAAGCTTTATTATTAATCTTTTGAATGTAAGAGACACTTTTTGTTCTCAAATTATTTAAAGGGTATTCAATTTAATATATATTACGTGCTTCACAAGGTCACAAAAGAATGTCTGAATTTATCTGAGGTTACCAAATCAAACCAAAAAAAGAGACTGGTGCATTTCTGTAATTCTGGAATATTTTTGTGTTTTCTATGTTTAAGCTCTAGAAATGGAAAAAAATATTTTGGGAAATAAACTCAATACTTTTGTTTCCATCAACATGGCCAATGAATACAATGAATATATACACCCACTTTATATCCCCTACAGATAGTTAATATATAGTTTTTTGTTTTTTTTTTTTTGAGGCAGAGTTTCACTCTGTTGCCAGGGCTAGAGTGCCATGGCATCAGCCTAGTTCACAGCAACCTCAAACTCCTGGGCTCAAGCAATCCTCCTGCCTCAGCCTCCCGAATAGCTGGGACTACAGGCATGCGCCACCATGCCCGGCTAATTTTTTCTATATAGATTTTTAGTTGTCCAAATAATTTCTTTCTATTTTTAGTAGAGATGGGGTCTTGCGCTTGCTCAGGCTGGTCTCGAACTCCTGACCTTGAGCGATCCGCCCGCCTCGGCCTCCCAGAGTGCTAGGATTACAGGCGTGAGCCACCGCGCCCGGCCTAGATAGTTAATATACAGTTTTTAAATTAAATGTTTTATTTTGAGATAAATGGAAAGATTCATATGAAATTGTAATTTGACAGATTCTGTATATCCTTACCCCATTTCCTCCAATGCTAAAATATTCTAAAACTATAGTATGATATATCATAACCAGAATATTGACATCGAAACAGTCAAGGTACATGTACTTGGGTTGTATAATGTTGCTGCAAAATTCATGTCTACTAAAAGAATATAACCTTACTTAGGAATAAGTGTTTACAAATGTAATTAGTTGATGAGGTCTTACTGAGTTAGGGTAAGACCTAAATACAACAACTGTTGTCCTTAAAACAAGACCATGTGAAGACACACAAGAAGATCATGCTTAATAGAGAGATTGGAGTGATTCAGTTGTAACTAAAGAACACCAAGGATTGCCAGCAGCCATTTTGTTCCAGTGTTAGCTGCAGGTTTTCATAGGTCCTCTTTATCTAGTTGAGGATATTCCCCTCATTCCTATTTTTCTGTGTGTTTTTATTATGAATGGGTGTTGAATTTTGTCAAATGCCTTTTCTGCATTGATTGATATTATGTGATTTTTCTTCTTCAGCCTGTTAAAATGGTTAGTTACATTGATTGATTTTCTAAACTTCAAGAAGCCCTGCATTCCTACATGAACTACACTTGGTCTTAGATTTTAATTGTTTTATATGTTGCTGAATTCTATTTGCTAATATTTTGTTAAGGATTTTTGTGTTTATACTTATGAGGCATTTTGGTCTATAGTTTTCTTTTTGGTGAACTGTCTTTGTCTTTATTGCCTCTTCTATTTTCTGGATTAGAAATTATCTATTTCATATTGGGCAAGTTGCAGTGGGTTGTGCTTTATTTTTATTTTTTGATTCCTTCCTTTTAGTCTAAATTGTTAAATTTATGTGTATAAAGTTGTTATCCCTTGTTATCCTTTTGATGTCTGTCAGATGTATAGTGATATTTCCTATTTCATTCCTGATATTGGCAAGTTGTGTCTTTTTTCTTTTTTAATTTATCAGCCTTGCTAGAAGTTTCAATTTTAATGATCTGTTGAAAAAACAGCTCTTTGTTTCATTGATTTTTCTATTGCTTTTCTGTTTTCAATTTCATTGTTTTCTGTTATTATGTCTATTATTCCCTTCCTTCTGCTTGCTTTCAGCACTTTTTGCTCCGCTTTCTCTTGATTCTTGAAGTGGGAGCTTAGATTGTTGATTTGAGTCTTAGTCTCTTTTCTAATGCAAGCATTTAGTGTTATAAATTCCTATCTCAGCACTACTTTAGATTTTGATATGTTGTATGTTCATTTTCCTCCAGTTTGTTTTCCTTGAGAATTCCTTTTCCACATATGGATTATTTAGAAGGGTTCTGCTTAGTTTACATAGTGTTTGAAAATTTTATTCTTATTTTCCTGTGATTGAATTCTAATTTGATTCTATTGTGCTCAGAGAATACACTATGTATAATTAAATTCTTTCAAATTTGTTGAGGTTTGTTTTATGGATAATGGTATGGTCTATCTTGGTATGTGTTCTATGGACTCTTGGAAAAATGAATTCTTCTATGTGGCTTTTATAATTTTAATGTATGTTCCATCTATGTCAATTTTGCCAAGATTCTTATCATAAAAGGGTGTTGAATTTTGTTGAATACTTTTTCTGCATCTA